TAAGGATATTAATTTTGGGAAGGTTGATAACAAAGTTCATTGTGTGGCCTGCAGCCAGGGAAAGCAGTGTGCAAAGAAATTTCCACATCGAAAGAAATGTAAGCGAGCAAACGATTTGCTTGAACTAGTACATAGTGATGTTGCCGGTCCAATTGAAACAGAGTCATGGGGAGGTGCAAAATATTTTCTGATCTTTGTTGACGACTACAGTAGAAAAGTTTTCTGTTATATGTTGACATCGAAGAAAGAAGTATTCAAATGTTTTCGTGATTTTAAAGCTTTTGTGGAAAATCAAACTTCAAAGAAAATTAAAAAATTTAGATCTGATAATGGTACAGAGTATACCAATAAGGAATTTCAATCTTTTTTAAAGAAATATGGAATTCAGCATCAGACATCTGTTCCACATACTCCAGCTCAAAACGGAGTAGCTGAGAGGACTATTAGGACGATCACAGAGAAAGCACGTTGTATGCTTCATGACAGTGGTCTAAATAAAAAGTTCTGGGGTGAAGCTGTCAACACAGCCGTTTATTTGAAAAATCGATCCCCAACAATGGCTTTAAAAGACAAGGTTCCTGAAGAGGTGTGGTTAGGTCAACAAGTAGATTTATCGTATCTGAAAGTTTTTGGATCTATTGCACAAGTCCTAGTGAAGGATGGCAGTAGAAAGAAGTTTGATGCCAAGACTCGCAAATTAATTTTTACGGGATACAGTGAAGCACAGAAAGCCTACAGATTTATTGATTTAAATAATCCAAAAAGGATTATCATCGGTCGAGATGCAGTCTTTAATGAAAAGTTACAAAATCCCTCGGTCAGTGATCTCAAACCTGAGGAAGTTATCAAGCAGCCTACATCTGATAAATGTACAAAAGAAGTTTCTCAAGCCGAGAAAGAAGTTGCCCAAGGAGGACTTTATTGGGATTATCGCGAAGAGGACAGAGTGTCTTCTGCTACCAACGTCTGTGATGATGAAGTCGGAGAGGTAATAAGATCAGAAACAGAAAGTCAAGGCGTAAGTAATATACGGTCCGATACTTTTGAAGCTCAAGACGAAATGAGTAGTCAACAAGATTCTGAAATAGAAGAAACTAGTGAAGTTTCGCCAAATAGAAGATATCCCTTACGAATACGTACTCCAAAGAGATATGATGATATGGAATACAATTTTCTAGTCTCAACTAATGGAGATCCTGTTTCTGTAAAGGATGCAATGAAGCGCTCAGATAAGACGCTGTGGAGGAAAGCAATGGAAGAAGAATATAATTCCCTTATAGAGAATGGCACTTGGAATTTAGTTGACCGTCCTTGTGGGACTAATGTGGTTAAATGTAAGTGGTTATTTAAACTCAAAATAGGAGCGGATGGTGTAGTTCAGCGACATAAGGCGAGATTAGTTGCCAAGGGTTATTCCCAAAAATGGGGAGAAGATTATTTCGAAACCTTTGCACCAGTAGTCAAGCTTTCGTCAATCAGGATGTTGTTTGCTTTATCTGTTGAGAAAGACCTCAAGGTACATCATATTGATGTTACTACAGCCTTCTTAAATGGTGACCTCGAGGAAGATCTTTACATGGAGCAACCAGAAACCTTTGTAAAGAAGGGAAATGAGCAAAAGGTATGTAAGCTCAAGAAAGCCATATATGGATTGAAACAAGCAGCTCGATGCTGGAATGTCAAAGTAGATGCTCACATTGTTAAGTTCGGCTTCAAGAGGTCAAATTATGATTCTTGTGTATATATTAAAAGAAGTAAGAATAATTTTACAGCTATTGCTCTGTACGTAGACGATTTTTATATTTTTGGCAGTTCACAACAAGTTGTTGATCAAGTTAAGGATCACATAAGATTAGGTTTCAAGATTAAGGATTTGGGTGAGGCTAAAGAATGTCTGGGTATGCAAATCACGAAATCAGAAAACTTGAAAGAAATTCATTTGAATCAGACTAATTTTGCTAAAAAGATATTAGAACGATTTGGTATGGAAGATTGCAAACCTGTTGCGACACCATTGGCAATGAATTTGAAGTTAGAAAAGGGTGACATAAATCATGATCCCAGCTATCAAGAAATCATTGGGTCCTTGATGTATCTTGCTTTGGGTACAAGACCAGATATTGCTTTTGTTGTAAGTTATCTCAGTCAATTCAACAACTTCTGGAACACAACTCATATGTCAGCATTAAAACGTGTTTTACGGTACGTCAAAGGCACAATGAATAATGTTTTAATATATAAGAAAACTGGAAAACCGTTATGTGCTTTTTGTGATGCAGATTGGGGTAAAAATGAAGATGGTCATTCGTTTACGGGATATATGCTTGTTTTAGGTGGCGCTGTAATAGCATGGCAGGCACGTAAACAGCGATGCGTTGCATTAAGCTCAGCAGAAGCTGAGTATATCGCTGCTTGCGAGGCTGCTAAACATATTATATCTGTGAAAGGTTTATATGAAGAATTAACTGGTGTTAAAGTGTCAGTAGAATTGTTTAGTGATAGTCAAAGTGCTGCAAAATTGATTTATTCTAATGCTGTAGGTAGAAGATCGAAACACATTAACATCAAATACCATTATGTGAGAGAACTAGCGGAATCTAAAGAGATTTTCATCACTTATTTGGAAACTAATTCCATGCCAGCTGATGCTCTCACAAAAGGTCTGCCAAGACCAAAGTTTGAGTACTGTTTAAGACGTATGGGTATTCAGGGGGCGTGTTAAAAATGAAGGTTGAATACCGATACGTCCAGTCATAGAGAAATGATTTTGGTTGCTATGTTATTGTTTTGTTTATTATCTTTGTTTTAAAATTTTCTCTGTCATTAAGGATTATATTATTTTTATTAATAAAATACTTTATACGTTTACTCCACAATCCTTTATTTGCTACATTGTATATTTCCACAAAAACAACAATATTAAATCATCATATAAAATACAGCATTTTATAATCAACAATAAATATAAAATATCGATTATAAGTTTATTGGAAATTAACAATATCGCCGAAATAAATATCGATTCAAATCTATTATTTTTTCCCAAACCTATTCCTTATGAATTTTCCGGATCTCGGACACAGCAGTGCACAAGTGTAAGCACGTTTTTCATTGCCGCCATCACGGACCTGAAAAAACCGGTCCGGAATAGAGAAAAGTAAAATTCCGGACGGTAAAATTCCTGTCAGTGCACAAGCACGCATTACCTGCATATGGCCTGACATATCGGACCTGAAAAAATCATACCGCCGGACATGAAAATTCAGTGTTGTGCACAAGCGCCCTATGTTTATAATAGTGATGTGGATTTGACATCTATTTGACAGTTGACTTAAAACGCTTTAATGAGGAAGTATTTAAAAAAAATAAAGAAACTACAAAAAATTATGTTACTAGATGGCAGCACAAATTGTTGGATCTAAACGTCAATTCATGACGTTAAACCAAAGAGAATAGATTTGTTAGTGTTGTTATGGATCTGATAACTTGGATTAATATCGAGTTGAAATTTAACTAGTTCGAGTTATGCAATCGCAACTCGATTAATACAAAGTAATCTTTGAATAAATTTATTTTTTATTTGTATAGAGGAAAATGGAAACTAACATAATGGAAGTGAGCACAGAGGCTTTTTAAATTTATGGAAATCAATTGAATGCTGTGATATAATTAAAAGTGGCATCTAACTACGGTAAACAATAATATTACATTTTATAAATAAAATAGGTACTTATGTCATAGTAGGTCTAGGAATTTTCATTTTAATATTTAACAAAAGTTCTGAAAAAATAACAACTAGGTAAGTTAGTTTTATTGCTATCAGTTGTTTGTTGAACTTACAACAACAAAACTACATCAATTCTCAATATTTTTTTTATATTATGTATGGTGAATGAATGAATAGGGTTTATTAATCAGCAACAAAAGTCATAAAAACAATAATTTTTAAGAAAAATCCGTTTATTATCTATAAACTTACCCGATATGTATCAAATATACTATATATTCGTACAAAATAACATAACTGCTGGCTAAAATTACGTTTGTGCAAAGTGTAACGTGCAAATAACTTGTGCTTTCGAAATTAAGACTTTATAAAACTATTATCAGTTATTAAATCTTATATTCATAATTAAATCATCTTAATAAACATTCAGTAATTAACAAGAAACGTCTGCTCTAAACGAACAGCAAGGTTGTAAATTTAAATTTCAAATTAAGACACGTACAGTTATTATATTGCTACTGATCTTGCATGTCGACGGCGGACGTCGAGCCATGTGTTAAGTTAGTTCGTACGCCGGGTTTGTTCTTTTTGGTTCTTACAATAATATTATTAATAATAATTTGAATTCCTACACAACCTACTCTAGAAATCCGTTTTATTGAAATATATTATTTACTAAGTACCTAGAGTTGTTATGGTCTCTTAAAATCTCTGCGGTGGTATCGTGTGCGTAAGGTGGTTACGATCCCTCAAATATAGTATAGTTGAGTTGTTTAGTTGAAATTAAAAAAGCAGTCCTTGCTGAGTTTCTTGCCGTTTCTTGTCAGTAAGAGATCTCCCGCCTTAGTTTTGCGAACCATTGGTAAAGTTTTCGACTTTCACAAGTACTATGTAACAGTCTAGATTGAATTGATTTTGATATTTATATTAATATCATTCGTTTTGTGGATGCATAATGACACTTCATCTTCATCATCATTTTTGTTCTCCATTCCAAACCTGAATTCGACGAAAGTTACGAGCAACCAATAAGTTGGCTCATCACTAATGTTGACGTATCAACCAAACATCGTTCCTTTACACGTAACATAATAAACAACTTAAACTTACAATTAAAATAAATTAAAATTAGTTTGAAAGTGAGACATTATAAGAAACACAAAACGATGTCATATTTATTAATCGAAAATACTCAATTTACATTTATTACGTCAGAAATAAAATTTGAATGAATATCATAAACAAAATCCAAAACTCGCGAGTGACATCTAGTATGATTTCAAGAACTAATTTTTATTTTTTAAATACTTCCTCATTACATTACAAATTTCCATATTTACAAAGATAAGAGATAAACTCATGTCTTATTTCCAAAGAGAATTTAACCACTACGTTCGAATTATTTCTTTCTTTGAATGATCTTGAGAATTGGGAAAACTTTTCAAATTAATTTAGTGTGAATTTTGACTTCAAAATAATGGCTTTACCTGCAGCTCAACCAGCTGAGGTTCTTCGAGCGCACCAAAAAGATGACATGTACGAAAAGCAACTGGCAGAATCGGTTTCAAGGCTTCTACCCGCAAGACACGCTTCTAAAGCCGAACCTATTTCATCTATTCTTTATAAATCGTTTACAACTCTAAAAGATCTTCAAACGCTTGGCGAAGAATACTCTGGAATTGTTCAGGTGGACGACACTTATCATAAATTGCCAACATTCTATAATCGTTTATGCAGTATGCTCTTATCAACTTTTGGCTCATCTTTAACTTCTAAACTTTTGCGCCATTGTGAAAAGAGTGTTGAAAGAAATCCGTATTTAAAACCAGAAGCTCAAAATGCGTGTTTAGTTGCGCTTAGAGCTTTAAACTCCTTGATACCTCAGATTGAGAACATCCATAGAGCTATGAGCTATATAAATGGAGGTCCTTTGCAAATTGGCAAGACTGTGGCAGGTATAGATTATGTGCATGTGAGGCCTGCAGCGGCAGCTCACTATGCTCATTTAAGATTACTGGGTATAGTGACATTGTTACATGCTTTCGTGTCATGTGGCCAAAGCGTATATCAAGCTAAAAAACATATGGAGCAAGTAAACGATATGCCTAGTGAAGTAGACAGTAGTAAATCTTGTGTTGCTTGTTTAGAAGAAATAGTACAGCCTTGTGTGCTACCTTGTGGTCATATATTTTGTTTTGGCTGCTCTTATGGAGCTTTAGAAATGTGTGCACTATGTAGATCCCCTTTTAGAAAGAATATGGTAGTGCCTTTGATGAATTATACACCTGGTACTTTATAGTAAATTTACTTAATTCAAATAATTTCAAATGCATTCAAATTACTGGTTGAGAATATTTTTACATTTGTTTATCATTAGCAGATTTGTTACAAGAATAAAATTTTCTGTCCAGTAAATAAGTAGTATCAAGTCTTCTTTTTAAGTTTATGACACTTATTCGAGGTTGCCTGTTATATCATACGTTATGGATCTTATATCTTCTAAGTGTGAGTGTTGAATAAATGAACTGTTTATTGGGTCTACTGATAAACTGGTTTATGCATGAATGTAAGATACAAGCATTGCTAGATCAGTTCAGTCTGTGAGGTGACTGATTATTTATATTTCTCTCTGTTGTTTGGGAATGAAAGAGTGCTGTTTGTCTTGCTAGCTTATGTAACAAACATTTTTTAAATAGAGAGTTCCTAGTACATTACTTATGTGATATAAATGCACATTTGAACTTTGCATTTAAAATGACAAATCAGTATTTGATTCTAATGCAGATAGCGTAGGTAAAGGTTTAATTATGCAATTAGTATACTCCTTTTTAATTTTCTTTGATTGCATTATCATTAGTTTGAATAATTTGGTGTATAAAGGTAAGGAACTGTCTCAATTTGTAGAGTAGTTATTTGTAAATAAACAATTCTGAACTTTAACAATAATAAGCATGTAAAAAGTATGAAATCCATTTATGACATAAAATAGTTGAAGAAAACTTTCTATCAACTAGTTTATGATAAACAGCCTCATTTCTTTGATCGTAAAAGCATTAACAACCAAGCCCTAAATCTTCAATTGATAATGGACTATAGTGTGACAATGTTTCAGTTCTTTTGAAACAGTTTGTCATGTCACTAGATTGAACCAATAATTTTCATTCTCTGTTATATAACATGACAAAATATGATAAATTGAAACGGCATTAACATTTTAACATTAGAAGAATCAAGAGCTAGGTCATAACTGGATATTAAATTGATGTAATGTGCCCGAGTTTAAATTTATTTATGTAGTTATGCTATATGGTATTAATGACAAGAATATTTAAGAAATATTATGGAAGATATTGATACAGTTTTATGGTGATAGTATTAGTACCAAAGATTTATGATAGTGGTGTAGGTTTTTCCTTTTACATTGTTGACCAATAAAACAACATTATATAAAAGAGCTTATTTATTTTCAACATAATAACATACTTCCCATGTGGTTATAATAGAACATTTTTATTTATGCAAATCTCATTAAGCTTCAGATAGATCAAGTGTTTTATTTAACTTAAAATTCACACCCTCAATGTTTAAAATACAATAGAAACATTTAGCTATTTACTCAACTCCATAATTGGTAAATGTTATTTCATTCATGAATATTTTGGATACTAAATTAGTTAACCATTTTCCAACATATTGCATATTAATATGATTTAATTATGCCCTTTGTAAGTAAATCAACCTAAATGACTAATAAGAATACATCATAATTATTTTCTTGACAATCTTGGTATATCTCATACTTATGAAGAATGGAGTTGCAAAGATTGTTGCCACATAAATGTGATAAAAAGAATCACTGACATAATTTGTGAGTTACTCTAGGATTACAATATAGGTCCTGTACATAACACACTTAGCTGAAAAATCAGTCAAATCAGTCTGCATTAATTTAAATGCTTTATAAAAGCTATTTAGATTTGTTGAATTGTTTGTGCTAATGTTCCTATTGAAAACAAAAGTAAAAATACATTAAGTAACTTAGTATAATACTAACAAATACAACATTATATAATTAATTACTGCAATAGATGTACCATAAATAATTATTATACTAAGAATGGCAAGAGATAATGAATTATTCAACACGCAACAACTCCACATCAAATACAAGAGTAGAATTGGGTGGGATAACACCAGGGTGACCACGCGAGCCATATGCAAAGTCAGGTGTACATGTTAGCCTTGCTCTTTCTCCAACAGACATCTACAAATCATAACAACAATTCAGTTTATTTATTTAGATTCTCTTATTTATAGAATTAAGAAAGATTTCATTGATTGATATCTAATTAAATATCAGGTGCTAGATATTATTTATTTTGAATTACCTTAGCTAATCCTTGATCCCAACCTTTAATGACATCACCCTTTCCAAGAGTGAACTTAAAAGGTTGTCCTCTATCTCTCGATGAATCGAACTTCTTGCCGTTTTCTAATGTACCTGTGTAATGCACAACAACAGTTTGACCTGGTTTGGGATAAGTTGTTCCTGAAAAAATAAACGAAATTATAAATCTATCGTACATTCATTAGGTTATGTATGAAAAAATATGTATCAAAAGACGAACCATTGCCAGGTGACAGTGTTTCTATATCAACACCCATTTTATGATGTGAATGAAAAGGAACTATTTGTTTTTTAAATGGAGAAAAGAAATAAATTGCAAAACAAATATGTTTTATTTTTCAAATGACAGGATCTTTTTGCACAGAACAATATCTTTTTGTCAAAGACAAAGAGTAAAAGTATATATTAGGGAAAAGAGAAACCACTCTCCAATTTTTTTCGTCTGTGGTCATACTACGTGAGATAGGGATGTCGATATTCATCGATGTTTAATAAACATCGATATTCATCTAGAAAAACTAGCTAAACAACGATGTTTATGAATAAAATATCAATATATCCTTAGGATCATCTAACGTGCTCTAGATATACTAGCTATATGATCTCGTATAACAAGTTCAACAATTTTTCACTAGATTTCACCGGTTGCACTCGTAACTGGAGTAACCAAACAAATAGTTTTCGATAAATATCGCACATCGATGTTGGGCTTACGATGATGATACCGATGTCAACATCGATGATTTTCTAATATCGACCATCCCTAGCGTGAGAACGTTTGTTGACAGATAGATGTTTACGGGATTTCCGTTAGGTAGCGTGACTGCGTAGACAGAGAAACTTACTCTAAGCGTGACTGTGACTGTCGGTGCCAGTGTTGCGAGGTCATTTTTTGTGTTACCCCAGATTTTGTCTCGGTTTACCCTAGTTTAAGCATATTTTTGGAAAAATACCCTAAATAAATTCCAATAAAAATCACCCACCTTTAGAGAGCTTGTTGACCTCCGGACTCACAACTCGCTTTTTATAGGCGATAAACATTGTTTTATTGCATTGCAAATTCCAAAGAAAAGACAGTTGGAGTAAGTTGATACAAAAATTGTGAAAAAGTTTTAAATTATCTAACCGTCATAATACCTTGTATTAGAGGCAATGATAGTCTTTATTTAAGTTTATTTTTTACTATTGAATTAAGAAAGAAAGCCCTTTACTACGAGGGTCAAACTGAAAGTTCTTAGAAAATCAAAAACTGATTACATTAGCCAGTTATTAGTTTTATTATATCTTTTCAAAATATTGTCCATTCACGTCAATACACCGCTGCATGCGATGGAACCACTGGGAAAAGCACTTTGCCCACTCGTCCTTAGGGGTCTCTTCAATGGCATCGCGATACGCAGCCACCGCTTCTTCAGCATTCATAAACCGCTTTCCTTTAAGTTTTTCTTTAATTTTTGGAAATAAATAAAAATCACAAGGCGCGAGGTCGGGGCTATACGGCGGGTGACCCAGTAATTCAACGTTTGATGTCGCCAAATAGTCGATCGTTCGCTTGGCGGTGTGCGACGAGGCGTTGTCGTGGTGAAGGAGGATCCTACTGCGAGGTCGTTTCTCTCGAACTTTTTCCAAGACAAGTGGCAAACAATTGGTAGTGTACCATTCTGCAGAAACTGTTTTTTGATCTTCTAACACAATTGTTGCAAAATGACCTATCCTTCCAAAGAACGAGGCCACTATTTTTTTTCCCGCACTTCGATCTCTCTTCACTTTAGTTGGCAACTCCTCGAAAGGAAACACCCACTGAGCAGATTGTCTTTTGGTTTTAGGATCATAACAGTAAATCCAGCTTTCGTCACCTGTTAGTATGTCGAACACAGCATTTGAGTCACCTCCGTTAAATCTTTCAATCATTTTACGACACCAATCCACACGATAGAGTTTTTGAGCCTCAGTCAAATTATGAGGTATCCACCGGGCGCAAAGCTTCCTGACCGCTAAATGTTCGTGGAGGATTTTGTGCACTTGACTCATACCGATGCCTAAGCTTGTCCGAATCTGTTGATAGGTCACTCTTTTGTCAGTCTCTATCATACGCCGCACAACACAGATGTTATCTTCAGTCGTCGCCGTAGAAGGCCGTCCCTCACGTAAATCATCAGTGAGATTAGTGCGACCACGTTTAAACTCATTAAACCAGTTGTAAACAGTCGCACGAGATGGGGCTTCATCGTGAAAGGCCAATCGTAGTCTATCATAACTTTCTTGTTGACTTAAATGACATCGAAAGTCATAAAAAATCATTGCACGAAAATTTTCTCGTGTTAAATTCATGATGACGTGACACAGACAATTTTCAATTTGCCGCCAAATCGTAAAACAAATGACAAATGAATGAAATATATACTCAGTAATATTGGCAAAGAGTTATATTTTCAAATTTTAGAATTATTTTTTTATTATATTGTTTATAAGTGGCCAGTTCTAAGAACTTTCAGTTTGACCCTCGTATTGAATAAAGAAAGAAAACCATAGATGCTTTGGGGCCGTTCATTAATCACATGACTTCTTTTTTCAGCAATTTTAACCTCCCCCCCCTTCTCTCGGTGATACATGGTAAGGTTTAAGACTATACCCCCTCCCTCTCCATCCAAATCATGTGTATTTTTAGTACCTACAAAAAAATCTTAATTTTTGACGTCGTTTTTCGGTACAGTAATCGCCGCATATTATAAAAATCGTGTTTCGATTGAGGTTCAGCTATAGATCAGTTGAAAATATTTAGCGCGATCGAGCTCACTCGTTGATGACATTTTTTAGAGTAAGTAGAAAACTACTGTTCACACCTTGTTCACACAAGCTTTCACAACAAACACAGATGAATAAGAGAACTAGTTAACAACAAACATACCGAGAGCAAAACTTAAGTATGATCAACTTCCACAAATTGTTTTTGCTGGAGTTAATTTACAGCTCAGTGATCAGGTTAGAAATTTGGGCATACTATTTGACAAAAACTTAAATTGGGATGTACAGCTCAAAGAATTGAGTCGCAAACTTTTTGCCACTGTTGGGTCTTTAAGAAGACTCCGCAATATTTTACCCACTGCTACTAAAATTGCGCTCACACATTCTCTTATGATGCCCATACTTGATTATGCAGATGTCAGCTATCTTGATCTCACAGAGATGCAACTAAACAAGCTTAAGCGACTTCAAATTGTTTGTATAAGATTTGTATTTGGATTACGCAAATATGATCACATTTCTGAATTTCGTGGAAAACTCAAGTGGTTGCCTATTCGACTTCGCCGGAATGCACATATTCTAACGATGTTATTTAGCATACTTTTCAATCCCGTTATCCCTTCTTATTTAAAGGATCGCTTCAAATTTACCAAAGATTCTCATTCTCGCCTCTTGAGATAATCAGAAAATTTGCAATTGGATATGCCGATGCATTGTACAATCTTCTACGATAAGTCTTACAGTCCAAGCCGTGTTCTTGTGGAATGCATTACCTGTATCGATTAGGAAAGCTAAGTCCATTAATATCTTTAAGGAACTCGTTAAACAACATTATTTGTCCATGTAAGCATGCAGTTCATATGTATTTATATGAGTACGTATGGTATGTATGTATGAATGTAGGTATGAATGTATGTATGTATGTGTGTATGTATGTATATTTGTATATAGTATGTATATGTGTGAAGTATTTATGCTTATATTGTTTTTCTTCCTACACAGTATATATGTACACCGTCCACTATCCCATTATTATTAGCTCATTTATGATTTAACTCCATCCCAAGGTTGCCTGGAAGAGATCACTTTTAGTGATAAGGCCGCCATTTGTACGTCTCCTTTTTAAAATTGATATTGTAAGTGTTATGTGTGTGTAAAATAAAATATATTCTATTCTTTTCTATTCTAACATACCACAGAATACATACTCCAACAAACTCCAACCGAATTTAGGCTACAGACAACAGACATAATGGCAAAAAAAGACAGGTAAACAAATTGATATGCGTTCATCAATTACTACATTATTGTTGCGTTCAGAAGCACCAAACTGAGAGTTTTTATGTCTTTGGCAGTTGATTAAATAATATGCTATTAAACGTTAAAGCTTTCAAGCTATTACCCTAAAAAATACCCGCAGAAAATAAATTACTCCAAAAAATACCCTCGAAGCATTCATACCCTGAAAATTACCCTAAAAGATCAATTTTACTCTAAATCTAGGGTAAATTACCCTAAGTTGGCATCACTGGTCGGTGCGATGTAGGTCATGTCAGTGTATTATATTATATTATATTGGTGTGACATAATAATGAGGAAGTATTTAAAAATAAAAAGAAAGCACAAAAAAAGCACCTCCACTAAATGGCAACCCTAGCAAAAGTTGATTTTTGCAGGAAACGAATGGACCAATGACAGTCATTTCCGTTCCTTTTATCTAACATATTAAAAAATTGAAATTTGTAAAGTTCGAAACTTAAATATTAAAACAAATAGCACAAATAGAATATGAGTTGTTTATTGAGTTTTGAAAACTAATTTACTTTTAGACATGAAAGAAACCTGGAAGGGTTGTCATGGAGAAATCAATAAAGTACCGTAGCGACATTTAGTTTGAACTAATGTTATTTTTTTAATACTTCTACATTAATATATCAGACGTATCATGGTTTAAAGCATGTTTAGTGTAGTGCCTACTTTTACCTAAACGAGTTAAAAGACTTTTATCAACAGTTCAACTTAAAAAAGGTTGATGTTTACCAATATTACTTCTCCTTGTATATATATTATATATATATATATATATGAAAAAAGTGAAAAACTATACTTTTCTTTCTAACCAGGGGTGGGGGCAAATAATATTAATAATTACCTATTCCTTAAATATACTTATACTCTGTTGGTAGTCAGCCAGCAAGGCACGATATTCGACCTCCGTAGATCATCGCTAATACCATAGTGTAGTTTGAATTGATTTGTGGTGTCATTAAATAAAATATTAATATATATACTTATATAATAAAACGTTATTGTTTCATAGAAACTGCTCTTTAATCTCCCTCTAACATACTCTTAGGGTGGTACACTTCCTTACAAGTGACAGCTGATATTTTCTAGTGCCATCGAAAAGTAAACCCTGTAAACTGAAATGTCAATAGTGATTTATTTATTTATACAGGCACACAAAACAGATTACTGTCATAAAAAGTGAATACATATTTGACTACAATCTAGAACTATGCGTACACAACATGGTAATAATAGTTGTCTCATAGATTAATTAAAAATGTTTATATATATTATTATTTTACAAACTATAGAAAAGAAAAGAAAATTAGTTTTAACATTAATAAGTCTGTGGCGACT